GTGTGTGTGTGTGTGTGTGTGTGTGTGTGTGTGTGTGTGTGTGTGTACGTTTGACTGCAGTTGCATGCTCTTTATGTCAGCTTACCCTCACTGGCTCTCAATGAAGCGAAAACAAGGGGACAGAGACGGGTCCCTGTGGGGCCCCTCGGTGATGGATGACTCTGCTGAGAACACATTCAGAGTACTGACAGCAGTTTCTGTCTTCATAMACACACTCAGATTCAGACAGCTACATCTGCCTGCAAGAAAAATCTCTACTTTAGGCAGATATTCAGGTATTTGGCTCAAAYTGATTAGAGACAGATAAGCTTGTGATACGATTCATGCAAAAATCATCTCAGTTTAACTCTGTGACATTCAGATTTTAGTTTAAGTACTTAATATGTGTGTGGTTATTATTTGTATAACTTCTTTTAAAATTAATATTAGGTTAAAAGTGTGTTTTAGTTTTATTTGGGGTGCATTTTCAAGTTCTCTTTAATTTAGTTAGAATTAGTTGGACCTCATATGCATACAAATTCTAGGACAGGTGTCAAACTCATTTTCACAGATGAACATTATGGTGGCCCTCAAAGGACCAGTTATAATCTGTCTACATTTCATGGTTAACTTTGATTAAACATAAAACAACTCATTCTTCATCTCATTGCTGCGGCTGAGCACCGCTAACAAACAATAACTGAKCTCTACTTCCTGYATAGACACATCATTTTGACAAATCTTCYAATAAACACTGAAMACTACTACTGTATGTGTACGACTGACTAAATGTGAAATAAATTACACAGAAATACTATTAAAGTAAAAGTAAGAGAGTTTTACTCACTGTTGAGTTGTGGTGAGTAGCTGCCATCTTCAGCTCTGAACTCTCCCACTTTCTGACAGGGAATTCCCACTGGAGGAGCGTTCCAGTTTAAATTAGCATCTTTTAAGTGGGAGATTCCAACTTGGCTGCAGCAAAAGTAGATTTTACACGGCAAATTATCCCAGCTACCTGGTACATTTGAACCCTGTGCACCTCAACCACGTGGTGRGATGCAGTCATTTTGCAGGTAACGTAATCAGCATGCATTATGGGAAATGTAGTTTGTGGTCAGTGCTGKCTTTAAAGCAGCCTGCGCTTATTGCAAGACAATAATGCATCTTTGAAGCTCTCTTGGGCCACCTAAAATGCTGCGGTGGGCCACCTTTGTCCCGCGGGCCTTAAGTTTGACATGTGTCCCAGGACATAAGTCTGATGGATTAGAAAAATATCTCATAAGACTCTGAAGAGATATTAATGAAACGCTTAGAAAATAATCAATCAATCAATAAGTTTATTCACTCAATTCAACAATTTTCCTCATTATAACATACAAACACATTTTCGTTTAACACATACTGTGCATGAGTGAAAAGGGAGCAGGAAGAAGAAAAACCTTGTATAAACCTGCTCCTTTCTCAATAATTACAATTAATTTTTCATGGCCACATACATTAAATCACAAATAGAATCTGCAAACAATGCAGTATATCGTTCTCCTCATTAACTCAAAAGTGTATAAGACTTAATAATTTTTTCCTTATAAAGTATTTTAAACTGATTTAAAGTAGAACATTTTTTCAAATCGTCATCCAAACTATTCCATAATTTTACCCCATAAACTGAAATACACAATTGCTTTAAAGTAGTACGCACAGTTTTACTTTTAAAATCATATTTTCTTTGGTTATTTCTGTCATTTGAACTTAA